GTGGGGCTGAACACGTTTTCCCAGTAGGCACATGCACACACAGGCATATACAGAAGATACGGATGTATATGGCTAGCAACACAGATCAAGACAGATGTACTCAGCACTCATGCAAGTCCCTTATTCCTCTGTTTTATCATCCTTGGGAAATCACTTATATTCCTTGCCAGGCCCATCTTTGCCTCCTCTAAACATCGCGTAAGTCTTGTGCAATGCCAAAATGCTCTTCCCCTGTGTACTCCTTCGCAATGTCCCCCACCTGAAGAGGTGCTCTAGAGATTTGCTCCTGTCGACTCATCCTGATGGATGGACACCTGGGCACCAGGGTTGAGGCTCTCCTGGGACAGGCTCTGTGTCCCTCACGTGGGTTCCCATCTGCCTGTGTGCCCCTGTGCTCCTCTGGAAGTGTGGAGATGGGCCTTTGATGGGCTGACTCCCATGGGTCTGGGTGTAGATCCAAAAGGATGGGTGATTATGGTGATTTTAATTACAGACTGAGAGCTGGTGCAGATATACAGGAGCAGATACCTGAGAAATGAGGGTCAAACTGCTGGCTTTTGAGGTACTGTTGAATGCTAACAGCCTGCTGGGCTCTAAGTGGATTCTGCAGCTGTGTGACCTGCTCCATCCACCACTTTGTGCATGTATAAATGCATAAAACCAGGAGAGAGCAAAAGCCTGTGTTTTACCTCTTCTTGCAGTGTTCAGACAGGAACTCTTGAGTCTCAGTGACTGGTTCCTGGGTTTAGCAGACTGCTTTTTAATGAATCTCCTTTTCTCCTGCATTTGAGATCAACCAGGACAGACTAATGCCAAGATTAAGGCAGATGAGATGAAGGGCTGTTTCCATAGCAGATGCTGTCATATGAGTGCCGAGTTAATCTTGTGATAGAGCAAGGTCATAGGGTAATACAGATGGCAGGGCAAATCCTGTTAAGTCTTGACTAATTGTCAACTTGGTCCTAGTTCCTTTTTCCCGTGCAGAAAACAAACCACACCAAGCATCCAATTGTGAGACCAAATTGGTTGAAATTCTAGCCCAGGCTTGTATTTGCATCTGTTGTGAGTAACGTGCTACAATAAGGTTTGCATTAGTTCATGTTTAACTTGCTGAGTAGCAGTTTATGTGGTCCTGGAGCCAGCTACAGGACAGGACTGCCTTCTGACAGCCCCAAGGATTGCAGTGTAGCTGCACACCCACATCTGTGCTGGAAAATGAGACACCAGATCTAAGAGATACCCCCAAAAATGATTTAAGCAGGTCTAATGAGTAATTAAGTCCTTTGACAGAAATTGGTATTACTAAGGCTGTTCTGTAAAATCACGGCAGTTTGTTTCACTATGATCTCTGGATGAGGCTTTCTACTAAACAGAGAAAACAAGGTTATCTATGAGGTGTAGCTGTTATTTCAATATTTAGATGGGAGATCTTACCGACATGTCCTTCCGACAAAAAATGTAGTTACGGTTCCTATGACAACTGTTCCTCTCTCCTCCGGAGCATGGACTAACGATAGCGTTTCATTACATGATCATGTAAGGCTGGGCACCGTGACAGCCTTGTCATCTCTGCTCTGGTGTTTGCTCCTAAACGGCATTTAGCTGAAGTCTGCTTGTATTGTGCAGAACACGAATCGGAGTGACTGACCTTCACTGTGCTTACTGCCTGCCACCTCTGACTTCCCAGCTTCCTGCTTCTCATTAGTAAACTCACTTTCTAACAAAATATATTTGGTAGGATGAATTTTATTGACAAAAATTTCTAGGAATTTATTTCCGTGGTAGCAATTCTATACACTGACTAACATTAATTAACAGCAGTATCCTGACAAGTACACAGAGTACTAATCTATATCAGACCAATCTGCTGACAAAAATTCATGAGTATAGCAGCCAAATCAGACTATGAAGCAGATTCCCATAGTCACTTCTGCAACACACTTAGGAAAAATTATAACAAGTTGAACAGATATATTAAAAGACTTTATTCACAATAGAGAAATTTTTACAAATATAAGTTCTTAAAAATTAAGCATCTTGATCTATTACATATTCCATAATTTCAGTTTATATAAAGATGAAAAGACTAAGTGGACTATGTACAAATCAAAAACAATTTAAATGCATGATAGAAATGGGTATGTATGATGAAGTCACCATAGAAACAGTGAGCCATTGGGCATTACAAAAATCTGTGTACAACCAACACGTATGTAATATTTATCTCACAAACAATCAAAACTTGAAACAATGTGGGTGCTGTTTAAAGTGATCGACCTGTTTAGGATTTAACATATGTAGATTTAAATGCATTATTATGCCACAAAGAAATAGGCAGTGTGTTTATGCAAAGATAATGCTCCCCCTCCCAACCCCCAAAGCAATTTCTTTTGCTCTTACAAATGACTGGGAACACAAAGTGACCATCACTAGCCACTTCCACGCAGCTAGTCAGTGAACGGGAAATAAAACGCATGTTACCTCAGCAATCTAACAAGCAGGGGTAAGTACTGGTTCAACTTTGGTGTTTTGGGGTTATTAAAAAAAAAAAAGGGAAGAAAAATCAATATATTCTCAGTTTATGGAAAGGTTTTTTTCTTACAGTTGGCAGATCTACACGTTGTACAATCTTCTCGTCTACTTACATTAGTTTACAAAAAGTACAGTATAGTGCAGTTTGTACATACAACCTGAATACCAATACCAGTCACATCAAACTTGTGCTCTTTCAAATAATCATAACTCCCAAACTAAAAAAAAAATAAAAATAATTAAAAAAAAAAATCATACTTAATGTCCGTATTACAAGGAAACAGTCACGATGCTTCTATTGAAGTACATAGGACCCAATGCATACGAGAGTTCTGCGTCTGCAGCCTGCTTTTGAAACATAGAGAAGAGCTGCCTGGTTCTCCACTGTTTCTCTTCAGCTTGTTAAGTAAAGACAGGATCACTAGCCACACCTGGGGGAAGCATACTGTGGTTAAGAAAACCATGTGAAAAGAGGCTTACAAAAAACATTTCTCAAAGACTTTTTTTTTTCTGAGCTACTGTAGCTATTTAACTGAGGCCTCTAGCAGCACATGCACAACTGTGTGGTAGTCAGCAGCAGATGACCCAATAAAGATAACTGACAGAAGTAATTATTATTATTACTTTTTGATTAAGGAGGAAAGATAATTTGTTTTTAGTCCACATCTATAATTTCTCTGTGCTACTTGGGGTGGGAGGAAAGCTCCCTTACAAATATTGTTTCTGAAGAAATACAATGAAATATATAGTCCTCCAATGATACAAATTTTGGACTATCAAAATCAGCAGGAGCTCTGCTTTTCAACAGACTTCATCCTTGCTCGTTCGGTTTCAGAAAACAGTTACTCTGACATGAGGGAATCCGTATTTTTGAAAAGAAAATAATAATAATAATTTTTTAAGAAGGCAGTAAAGCAGAAAGTCTTGACTCCATGTGCCAGTTCCATGCCAGCAGCCTTTATCCGAGGCAGATGCACATACACTTGTATCCATTCTCCCAGCTCTGGGTCGCCCAAGCTGAGCAGGGTACCCCTATTAACTTCCATGTACTGAATGCACAGCTCTGCCAGTCCTGTGATGGAAGGCTCGGCACCACTGATGATCCTCTTGCCTTGCCCCCGACATAAGTGTCTTTGGCATCTCATGTGGCACATGCCATCTTCTCTGTCTGCAGGGGAAGCAGTGCGGCAGTGTTGTCTTTACACACTCCAGAGGGGCAAGTTTATGGGTCAGCCTCCAGCTGCTATATATAAAAATGTAATCCGTTATCCTTGCTCTTGGCTTCTACCTAAGGAAAAGCTACATTGCACACCTCTATCAGTATAGAAAAAAATGTACTCTGTAATGCCTAAACAAATGTGCTTCCTCAGCTGTGATTACCTATGCTGCACATGTGAGCTATCTAGCTATCTTACTAAATACCTTGAAAGAAGATTACTGTTCAGAACCACATGTGTTTTGCTGCAGTCAAAACACTGAATGATGTGCTTTTTCAGAATGGGAAGCCAGATGTTATACCGCACTCAAAATATAGTAAGTCATCCTGTCATTAAATGAAAACATAGGTAGCCTTAACAATCATGTAAACCACTCCAAGCTACACTTAAGTGGAAACAGGAGTTAATCGTGCCCAATTTTTACCTTTTGGTGATACTACAAAGTAAAATGTTTTTGGCAAAGCTGTTACCTTTCTTAGTAAGCCAGGCCTCTAGTCTAGGGAAAAATTTTAAACGCACTGCGTTTCTGTTGCTTAGAGAAGAAGGACTCAGTACTTTCAGAAAGTTTTACTTGTACACTGGATAATTTCCTCTGTGAAAGATTATTTCTTTTAAGGAGACAAGTTTTCTTCAAGGCACCTGGACATACAATTTTATTCATGCAGATACATTAAATTGATTTGTGACAATGAACTATCAAGCCTGGTGTCAAGTCTGAACCCATCTGAATATTTGAGAAAATCCCAGAAAACAAAAAAAATTGTCTCTGGTATAATTCTCAGCTTCCAGCAAAACATCTTTGAGTATTTTTTTGTCTTTTTACCATCCAACCAAATGAAAGCTACTGGACTAAATATATAAAGAAGGTAAGACTCCCTTTCTTGATATGAAATGACTATCTCATTTTACTCTGTATTAGCCTGACTAGAGACATGAGAATAACACCACTTAGAAAAGGGAGGAAACAATTTATTCTATTACAATATTCTAATCAAAACCTGAAAAATTAAGGTCTGCTAACTAATGTGCTAAATTCATAAAAACTAGGTTTAGACTAACTTCAATGTATACTGCAGTTTCAGAGTTGTGTCTGCACGAGATGAAAATATTCCTATGTAGATTTCATTGACAATTAAATACATCAGATACTTTACCAAGTAATGATAGACCCGCATAAGAAGAGGCTGTCACAGTCACAAGATTTGTCTTGGATGACACACAAAACAAATTAACATAGAACCCCCCCCCCCCAAAAAAAAAGCTCTTTATACTTAATTCAATATGGCTTTTTGCAACATGGCAAAATATTACAGCTTAAAGCAGACATCTCCTCACAGAGGAGAAAAGAATTTTGCAGTCAAATTAAAAGCATTACAGGAAACAAGTAACATGCAGACCCTTTCTGCTCTTTTTGGCCATGATGACACTGCAGCCTAACAAAATCTGGAGAGATGTCCTATTTCTCTTCTAAGTGGTTCAGCTGGACAAGTGGAATGAAGTTCTGTCATAATCAGTTGGTGTCCATTCATAAATATTTACCATTAAAGAAAACAGACTGCAAAACATTTGATTTAAAAATTTAACTCAGGAATTTAAAATCAAAATCATGTGCCCAAGTCCTGGAAGGAAACATAAGGAATGAAACAAAGTATAACTTAATCTTCATCTATTTCTGGTTTTCTTCTTTATTCCCATCGTCTTTGTGAAGAACAGGGAGAGGATGAGCCTCTGTGTTGAAGACCCAGTGTTCGAATGGAAGAAGATCATCTTCAGAAAACAGCAAATACAAGTACCTGGCAAGGAAAAAAAGCAGGAAATGTGCCCACATCAGGGAATTAAAACTCCAATAGTTTTCAGGAAAACATAAATACCTGATTTCCTTAGATGAATGCATCAATGGAAACTGCTGACTAAACACAAAACACTAGTAAGTGCCAGCATCACAATGATTAGCACAAAGGTTTGGGGCGACTCAACTCAGACTGGACTCAAGGGCAATAAAAACTGGAGACCAACAAATGAATGCCTTCGTACTGATAGAGGACAAAGAAGTTTAGGCTATCAAGGTTCACTTCACTATCAGTTCACTTCACTTCCATTTCATCCTTGGTAATTTTAGTACATATTGTTTTGATAATATACAACCATCGTAATTTTTTTGCCCCTGAATGTCCATATATATCAAGGTGTAGGAATGAAAACATTGTAGTCCAATCGTGTCTTACTTCTGAGAACAACCTCTGGCTTAGGATTTTTAAAAAAGAAAACTAGCACTAAAGAAGGAGCTTGGACAGCTACTTACTAAGATAGGGTCCATTAAAACCATCAGTAAACAATAAACAAATTCAACATTTTATTTATTGTCCTGATACAAGGTAGTAGCTACTGTAGCATGATACAGGATAAGCACTTTGCTTAGAGATGAAAATCTGCTTTAGCACGTGAAATTTTATTTTTTCTCAATCATCATACTTCCCTGAAGGCTTTTCTTGGTCTAATTCTGATAAGCCAATTATAGTAGAGCCAGTGTGCTATCTCAAAAAAAAAAATGCCAGGATGTATATAAATGTATTTATGATATTTCATTTACTTGAGTATTACACTTTCTGTTGAAATGGCATGATTGCTTCTTTCTGGTCTTTGCAACTTTCTCTTGTATGGCAAAAAAAAAAAAAAAGTGAAGAGACTAAGACAAAACTTCCTTTATTTCATTAAAAACTTAGGAGATGTTGATAGATAATGAAAGCTTTTGTTTTCTTTCTTAATAAGTCATGCAAGCTTACCATGCAAGTTGACAACTTTTTTCTCCTTCTGCAGTTTTAAAATTAAAAGTATGCAGTACAAACCTGGTAAGTCCTCTGTCTACTCAATTTGTTTCACTAGTGTTGGCATATATCATTAGATCCTATCAAAGCTAGGCGATATAATTTCTCAACAAAGACTATCAAGTACCTTTAACAGAAGTAAAGATAATTTACAGACATCATAGAATTTATTTTATTGATATAGAAGGAAAAAAAAAGAATTTGCCTTCTCATCACCTAAGAAAAGCTCTACTATTTCAGTCAGATTTTGTTATGTGAATGTCAAGGGTACTAACAATAAATACGTCCCTGTAAAGATGATATATAGAACTATTTCATATTAACGAAAATCAACTTTCTTAACTTACTTGAGCGTCTCTGAAAGGAAGAAACTTTGCTGCACATCATCGTGGCTTTCATGATTGTTATAAACATCTCTAATGCCTGAATAGCCACCATCTATTCTGCAATGTTTTTCCAGTGCCTGAAGAGTGAGAGGAAAAAAAAAAGACAGTGGGATTGACAAAATTAATCATCTGACAGTTTTTCTTTGTTTGACATTAAAACTAGCTGCAAAAAAAATATGACAATTTTTTTTTATAAAGAGTTGAAAACTAGATAAAGCTCTGGATAGAAATCTCCTTTTTTTAAAGACATAGGCACACATGTCTAATTTTACATTTAGGAAGAAAAGCAAAACGATAAATTAATAAAAGAAGTGAACGCAAACAGTTTTCAGAAGGAAAGATATTATATGGATTTTCACGTATTTTCTTTTTCCTCTTTTTAATAGGAATAACAATAGCCTCTCTATCCTAGGCTTGTCTATACAGATTTCAGAGATCCTGTCAGATAAACCTTTCTTGGTCATATTTTAGTGCTTAAAAATTATTGTGACAGAATTGAATGCCATGGTAAAGACCAGTCTTTTCCTTACCTCTTGTAAGTTGCTTCAAAAAAGCAAAGGCAACTCTCCATTTTCTATGTAAGTTGTTTGGTTTCTCTTTGCAATTATTTCAAATTTCAATGGGAAACCTCTGATATTGGGCTGTGACTGAATTTCTTTTCTGCAGTAAGTAGTATTTTTCTTTGATACTTTTCTGAAAAAGCTTTGCCTGTTACACAGGAGTAGATGGAAAGCTAGTATGTGGCTGGACTTAACACAACATATTTTAGATGTAAGAATAAGAATACGTTTTTCTTTAGCTGGTTTCCAAACTGTGTATTCAGTTAAAAGGTGTAAAACAGACGACTGATTCCTATTTTACAATAAAAAGGAGCACATGGACCACCTAAAAATATACAGGAATGTTCTATGTACACCAGGCAATATTGAAGGAGAAAAATTATCAGATGAAGGGTGTATACAGAAGGGCAAAAAACATGTACCTGGTGCTGGAAGTGTAGAAGGTATATACAGTTATACTATTTAATAAACTTTGCTGCTTTTCTTTATTTTAGACAGGTGTTTGCATTAGAAATGTGATACCTATATGCCTATATATGAGAGATAATTTTTAAAAATATACTGCCATCCAATACTTTATTTGAATACTAGTTTTCTTATTGCTGCTCTTTGTTTAAAAATATTCATTCATCATTTTTCTTTACAATTGACCTATTTAACAAGGTCAAAAGTATTCTTAGCCTCTTCATTTTTCTTATCCTGTTTTATCATAACTCTCTGGTATGATGCAGTATAATAAAGGAGTGAAGAGAATCAAAGATGATTATATTTAAAACACAACTCATTATTCAAAAACAAATCCGGAAAATGATCTTTAGCTCTAAATAACTTCTCAGAATGAAAATGACAGTAAGCATGATGGATTAGTACATTTACTCAGGACCACACTACTATGAAACATGGTGCTTGATGTGGAGACAGGTATTGGAGCAGCAATTTTGAGGCAGAAATGCCTGGAGCTTTATCAAAACCCTGATGGAAAGATGAAAGGTTCCAACCTCATCAGACAATAAGTTCCTCTGTTTCTGAAGTTATGACAAATATCACTGAAGTGATTACAGATGCTGCACTTCAATCCACATACAGCAAAAAGCTACGAAAAGGCAGCAGATTGGTCTAAAACAAGCAAACAAGCAGAATAAGCATTTTCCTGATGACAGATGGGACTAAAAGTCACTAATAATTACCAGGGTATCCATCACCTCCACCTGCTCTAAAGGCTGTTCAAGTTCTGTGTTTTGCTGTGAGTAGATATCCTAAACGTCCTTGTTTTTGTTGGAGTCCCTGTAGCTATTTGCATATATTTAGCTTGCATGTCAGGCTCTCCGCAGTTTTCACTAGAGAGTAAGCTGCCTATTGTATATTTAAAAAGGATTTTTCTCCAGGAGAGATCCTTTAAAATATATAACAGGCCTATTTGCCTTTTCTTATGTGTCTTTAGGTTCTTTAATTTTCCTGGACACTTTTACTAAGTGACAAATACACTTAAGTTTAAACAAGTAATTTCCCCTGACTGGTACTCCTTCCCTCTCGTCTACTTCAACCGCAATGAATTCAAAATGCTGAATCTGTGTCTGGATTCTCAATGTCAAACACAAGATTATGTTTTCCAAGGTACAGCAGAAGGAGAACTTAAACTTGAAGGATAAGGCTATCTATCATTCAAGGAAACATCTGCATTCTAAACAGGGTGCGGTAAAATAAAAGCAAGTTGCATTGGGGGTTTATGTGCTCTAACGTGTAGTTAGAGTCTTCTTTATGAGTTCATTGTTGAGAGATGCCGTATAGGTACCTGAACACACTGCTGTGATGTAGACTAAGAAGTTAACTTGCACCATGTTAGCCATCTGGTGGTATCTACTTGATGCAAACGTGAAGCATCTTACCTCTCAAAGCTGCTTTCCACCTAACTAAAGGAACAGGACATTCATGTGTGGTATTAGTATGATAAAAAGGCTCTTGGCTGTCACCCTCCTTTAAGAGGGAATAATGGCCTTTTGTGCCCATGCCTGCAGTTTCAGAGTACAGTAATGTTCACATTGACAGTGGGGTAGTGGTGGATGGGAAACAAACCACTTCCAACCTAAATGCTTCTATGATTCTATATTGGATATGAGGAAAACTTTCTTCACTGGAAAGGTTGTCAAGCATTGGAACAGGCTGCCTGGGGAAGTGGTGGAGTCACCCCCCCAGAAGTATTTAAAAGATGTGTAGGTGTGGTGCTTAGTGACATGGTTTAGTGGTGGATTTGGCAGTGCTGGGTTAATGGTTGGACTTGATGATCTTAAAGGTCTTTTCCAACCTAAATGATCCTATGATTCTAAATACATTTTAAATCAGCAGTTCTCAGAAAATGAGGGTGGCTAAGATCAGTTATGCTAGAGTGATAGAAAACATCAAGCAGAGTGAAAACTGGCTGACAGCCTCAAAGTATCATAAAGGGAAGAAACAAAGGAAGTGGTGTGAATTCAAAATATGTGCCGCATTTATATTGCAGAAGGGGAGACTTTCAAGGGCTAAGCTGATAAAACCTTTCTGACTTAGTAAGAGCAGTTATAACTGCATTTTCTCCAACCGCTGAAGTACGTACAGCATGATCTTGTACTCAAATTAAAGCAGCAAAGTAGGTTTCCAAAGAAAAAATGGAGAGGCTAGAGCATGGTTTTTAGTCTATAAAAGTTACAGAAAGACTGAATAGACTTGTTGGAGAGTTTAAAAGACCTAGGAGCAGCCTCCTTGTAGTAGAAAAGGGCACTAGGAAATAACCTAATGAGTTCTTATTGCTAGCGTCATGAGTTGAAAATGGACACGAAACACATGAAGAACAACTTTTTTGGGCAACAACAAATGGTCTGATTGTTGCCCCTTTTTTCTTCTTTCAATCTCAGCTTCCTCTTTGTGCAACACGTGTTGGTAATTCAACCAACCACAGCCAGTGGTCAGGGAATTCCCCAAGAACAAAAGGGTGGAGTGACATGCTCTCTGGTGCAAGAGGGAGCAGAATTTATGAAATAGTTGTGTAAGCTATCATGACACACACTGGAACAAAAAAAAGTACAGTTTCAGGTGGAGCTGTATGGACTACAAACATCAAGGAAGAAGCAGAAAAAAACCCTTGAAAACTACAACTGACTCTATAACTTTTGTGAAGTTGTAAGATTTGCTTTTGTGAAACACTCAGATGCACATTAGGGCAGTGGAGGATGGGTCTGTACAGAATGGGACCAGCTGCATCTCCCACACATGGGCTGTAATCCACTACGTTAGAGCCAGACAAGAGTAATCACAAGAATATTGAACAAGGAACACATGGGGAGCGCTAAGAGGGTAAATGAGTCTACAAACTTGAAATAAACACAAACAAACTGAAGAACAAGGTAAAGAATAATAATAAGGAAAACATTTCAATTGTTTATAACCATGTTATCAGTGTGGGCAGAACAATGAGTCAGAAAAAAACATCTCCTGGAGAAGGAACACTTGGCCTTGCTGAAGCCTTGTGGGATGATTTCCATAAACAGCCATTGTAAATATTCCAGTTCTAATCTACCTGGGAAGATTCCAGTACTAAAATGTGTGCCTATGGGTGGTGTTAGCAAAGAAGAAAGTAAGGGAACAGCACTCGAAATTAAGAGTTTTTTGGGGTTTTTTTTAAATTGCTTTAGAATCATTAACTCGGAAGCATATTGTTTCAGGGCCGATAGAGCCAACACCTGAGGGAGCCAAATAAAATGTTCTAAATAACTACAGTCTACCTAGCTGAATACAGTGTTGACTGCAGATATGGAATTTCTGTGAATATTCAAACAAGGAGTTAGAGAGTGGAAGTATAGTTAAAGCTAGCAGCTATTCTTTTATGGAAAGCAGCTTTTACCATAAATTTAATTCTACAAGACTATCTAATTGACAAACTTGAAAGGCTCTTTTTTCACAACACTCAACAATATTTGCACAACATTTGAGAGATGTTCAGTATCTCACACAGTGAATACTGAATACAATTACAGATCTCAGTTACTGTTGAGGGAGCCAGGTAACTGGCAGATGTCATGTTGCAGCCAGGTATATGGAGTCATAACCCAGTAACAGCTCTCTGGTAGGGTCCCTCGGGGATGAGAAATTGCACGACACAAGTCTACACGTTCTTTCCTTAGTGTAGAGCAACATTCTACAACTAGCGGTGTAGGCCCATCCGAGAAAGTTATAATTGTACACTCCTAGAAACAAGAGGTGTTGGGCAAACTTACAAACAGGATGTTTTTGAAATCCTGGAAAGCAGTAACTCTGCAAAGGAGAGGTCACTGTGAACAAAATACTGCACACAGTTTTGCTTTCTTTTTTTTTTAAACTCTATTTTTCTTAAGTATACAGAGCAGCAAAAATAATGTTCTTCAGCTTCCTGTATCTCCTATAAGACCTCAGTCTGCTTAGAAATTCCAAGGTAAGAGTGAAAGGCAGATAATTCAGCAAGGGCAACATCAATGTGAGGAGAAAATAAGTGAACTCTGGAAGTATAATAAGGACCCACACCTGGAGGATGAAACATGGTAAATTCAAAGGCTCTCATCTCTAACGGTAAGCGTGATTAACCACTGAAATAGGGAAATTACAGATTTGGCAAGCCAATTTTAGCAGTATAGACTAGCTGCCCTCTTGGAAGGCTTGTGCTAGAGAAACACAAATAGCTAGGTTCAGCATAACTGGTTGAAGCTCAAAGGCTAGTGGGACACAGAAATTTAAATCCAGAAGATACTGTTATCATTAATGGAGTTCAGTCCAGATGACTTAATGCTTTTTGAAAGTGACCCATTTTTTAAATGTCCGGTACTGTCTAGTACTTCTAGTACTTCACCTTAATTAAAATCATGTTCGTACAATTACTGTTGAAAATACACTTCATAAAACTTATTTCCATGTCCAAGGCTCAAATTTGACACATTTGCACTTTCCATTCATATGCAGCAACAATACTCAACATCTTGAGCAGTACATCCACATATGACCCTGATCTGAAAAGTATTTAAGAAGGAGAAATCACAAGATATTTTTCTAATATGCAATACCAGCAGTGTTTGGTTTTGTCAGAATGACCTTAGTTCATCTATTTAGTAAATGCATCTCTGGAAATTTGAGTTGATATTACAGATTTTAAAAAAATATCTACTCTCTAACTGCTAAACAATATCCAGATCTCATTCAATAGCTCACTTAATGAGATGTTAGGGTTTAATAAGATAAAAGTCCAATAGAACATTACCTCTACAGCTTCCCATCCCCACTGCCTGTACTTTGGGTCATGAGTGAGTCGCCACATGTACATGTAGGTTTCTATGACTTCTGGTCGTAGGATGTAGTATTTTTCATTTTGTCTTGTAGCAATGGCCTCAACACCACCATCAAATCTGAAGGCTTCTGGTCCCAGTTTCATGCCTAACCAATATAAAAACACATGGTAAAATAAAGGCATTAAAAAAGGTTTCAGATTATGTAACCTACCAAATCAGCTATCCTTTCAACGTGGCACAAAGACAGGTTACCCAAAAGGTAGTTTCTGAAAGATACTGCAGCACCTCCTGGTTTTAATATTTTGTAAATAATTCAGAGTGGGAGAGAGCTGTTCTTCATCAATGCCTTAAACAGCAGCTCCAGTTTGAACAGTGACGTTAACATTTGTATCCTGGAAGAATTCATATAACTAGCAACATGTGAAATTTTGCCTAAAAGACGAGGATATTTACTTTTCTGTATCAAAGTGGAAAATGCACTCTGGGACCTACAGTGCTGCCAGTGTTACTTTTATAAGAAGCTGAAAGATTCCAAAGAAATTTCCTGCATAGAAATCCACTTTCTTTATGCAATTCTATTGTTTGCAGCGTTGTACCAACAGAACCGAGAATAAAATAATTTTTTTGTGCATAAAACATGATTAACAACTATATTGATGCATAAATGAACAGGCTCCCTCTCTTATTTGTATTTGGCTATACAGAAATTGCCAAAGTGGAAAAAAAAGCTGTCTTGTTATTTACTAGAGTGAATAGGTATGATTCAGGTGCACAGAAATCATGTATGAAACAGAGCAGCCATTCTTAAAGTAACTCTCAGAGCAAAGCAGCGTTTGCTCAGAAAGGACAAAGAGTTCTCATCATCATCCAACTTTCATTCAGCATTACAGAAAAATACCGATGGCTGCCTTCACAAAGTCAAACTGTGAAGCTAAACCCTACAATACAGTACTTACTTGTACGGTCATAGGATTCATGGCAAGTCCTAGCAATTTCAGCACCAAGCTCGATGTGGTGGCCCGTCTTGTCATTAGGTGCTCCGTCTGCTCCAAGAGCAAACATGCCTCCAGCAAAACAGGTGAGATGTCCCATCTTGTGTTCAAGCAGTCCACCCTTCCACTCAGCAATGTATGTCAGCCCCCCGCTTGATTTGCGAATGAGGTGGGTCTCTATGGCCTGCAAAAGTACATGATTTCAAACCCTTTGGTACCATTAGGTAAAGTATGGAGGACAAAGACAAAGTTGTCATGTACGTTGGTTGGTTTTTCTCACTATTGCCTTTTCTTATAAAGTGAAATGGATAATAAGAGCTAGCATAACCTCGAAGTGCAGCCAAACCAACACAGATTAGCATACATCAGTAACGGTGATTAATTTTGCTACAACTTTGAGCAATTTGCACAGTACATTTTATAAAAATATTGGAAAAACCTAAAAAATACAATTCCGTGTTATAATTCTTTATTTCTTTCTACTTTGAGCAATTTCAGGTAATTTCACTTTTAATGGTGATTAGCCATCACTTCAGCTTCCACACTTCCCATTGTAATTCTGACTTAAAGGATGTGGTTATTGATACAATTTCACGTCAATTATATGCAGACATAACTCATATTCTAAACACTTGACTCAGTGAGTGCACCGAATGATGTTAGGCCTCTGAGTCTGTATGGTGTTTGCAAAGTCCAATGAGTTTTTCTCCCCAGACTGAATTACTCTGTAGTTATCAATCAAGAATAGGGCCTGGAAAAAAAACTAAGCAAAATAAAAGCATTGCCATTAGCAATGTACAGTCACTGATTACAAAATCCAGGAAAACAACCTTATGAAAAGAACAGAATTAAAATAATAGAGGAGATGCAGAAGAGCACATTAATTAGAAGCCCACCCAGAAAGCAAGCTTTAAAGTGTAATGGAGAGGAGATGAACAACGCTATCATACATTCAGTTATCCAGCAGTATTCTGGTTTATTCTGTTGAAATCATAAGATCCAGAAACACTACTTGACATGCATTATACAGGAGAAAAAACATGAATAAAATATCAGTACAGAGAACTATTAACAAAAAAGCCAGGATTAAAAAGCAAGCCTTGTAAAGAGAAGGTATTGATTGCAGTTATTTCTTCCCATTTAAACAGCTGTAAAGGTTGTTTTTATAAGCATGAAAAATCTTCTCTAAACTAGAAGCATCAGCAGAATAATTGTACAAGTTTTACTTACTAAGTAGTTGTTTTGTGCCAGGAATATCACATTGAAAACTACTCTTTGTTTCCCACCAATATTAGTGCAAAGCACTTAGTAAGGATGTTTTCTGCCCACCTTCAGACCCATCATTGGCTCAGAAACTCCTTCCATCCTGTTCTTACCTCATTGATTGTACGTTTTTAGCACTAGTACCTACTGAAAAGCATACCTAAATGTGAAAGCAGCAGTAAATAATGAAGAGTCCTGTACTTTAAACAAATCCTGCATAATTTAACCTATTAAAAGAGGAATTAAATATAAAAGGGGAAAGGTGGGAAAACAGTTTCCTTAAGCATCCAATCCACAGACCCCACTGTGGAAGATGAATTACAGAGGCTGAGTTGGTGTAGAGCTAATTGGTGGTCGTGTATTCCAAGTGCATATAAAAAAGCTTTTCTGTCAGGTTGGGAAACTGGTTGTGGAACACCTAGGTACTTTTTTAAAAAATAATGTCCTTTAAAACATGTCTTTTGCACTCATTTGGGTATAAATTATTTGAATTTATAATTGAACAATTCACAGAACAGAGTTCAAAGAACCTGCTACAAAATGTATTAACGTATAAACAGGCAAAATTTATGAGACGACAGAAATAATTGGAAAACTTCCATAATCTTTCAGAGTGCTATTTACATTTTTATTAAACGTTTTATATTTGTAATAGAATGACTTATTGTTAAAAACACACCGCAATTTTGTGGGAAATAGCTTTCAGACTACTTAGGCATTCTAAAAAATAAGCTACCTAAAACCAAGTTCAGAAGTGAAAAACTTTTAATTTAATTACATTTTATTAAATCTTTCAGCATGCTATGCCTATGTCACCAAATCAACAATTCTGGCAATAGTTGATGACTCTACTGGTCACTTAGCTGTTGAGTCAGAATTTATTTTAAAATATAAACAAATTTAAAGATAGATTGATGACTAGATTTACCTGTATTGCAATTTTATTAGGAAAGAATTAATAAAAGCCAAAATGTACCTGACAGAAATAACAGTAATCATGCACCTTCAGAACTATAGTAACTAGACCAGAGTAGATTCTTGCAGTATGAAAATGGATTTTGCAATACGAGTAAGTCTTTCAGAGTATTTTTCCTCTCTTTTGGCTCAGGATTAAAGTTCAAGCTGAAAAAAGATGACTTCTACTTGGGAAATTTTAAAATTATTCTAAGAAACTGCTGTTAAGAAACTAACAAACTGATGTTAATTGATGCTAAGAATGTCACAAAATAAAAATATATTTCCAAATTAATTATTCATATTTAGTAAAGCAAATCATCTTGTTCTTATAAATGGGCCCTATTAAGAACTAGTACATATGCCTATTTAAAGTTTTTTTTATTATGTAAGCGTCTTATGTAAAGTTATTTTTATTAGGTAATTATTTGATATATTAACGGCTCCCAGATTGCCTTGTCATACTTTGTACCACCATGGGGCCCTGGGTGCTAGATAATACCTATACCTATGTATAGACCCTTATTAACAGTATGCTAGGTAACTAATCATTTATACCTAGAAAAGAAATCCAAATAACCTTCCATATGTACAAACAACCTTCAGAAGCCCTAAGCCCAAGGGTGCTGAACTTGCAAGTCCATCAGCACTCAACAAACTCTTATTCTGGAAGACAGGAAAACAAATACTGTAACGTGGTGAAGGCTAAACTTCGTCTGAGTTTCTATGAAGTTACGAAGTAATAACAGTTTGGAGAATTTACATGATCTAAGCAAACTGACCTCAACCGAACAGCTTTCGTAAAGCGTGAAAAGGCAGTGGAGCGTCCCCTCCCAGAGGGCCAGTAGCTCTTTTTGTGCTACGGGGTCGTGCACCAGGAGAGCTCACAAAACCACTGCCAGGGAGCTTGCAGTGTGACTGTCAAAAGCTTCTACTAAGTCTAATGATTCTACTAAATCTAATTTCTTCATGGGCCATTTTCGGTCTGAGCTAGACAAACTGCTTTCGTCAGAAACAGGATTCCCTTCTCTCATGGAAGAGAGAACATCTACACTGCTACTGAGAACAGAGAGATTAGCTGCTTGCCCTGAAACAATGTTCACCAAAGGCTTGCTAATGAATTTGCAGTATCAAAGGTGCATGAAGTTTGGAATAATTCCAGCACAGCATAGAAGTTTCGGATTATAATGAACTTGTTAGGTGTGCTCCAGTTGTTTCAGCAACTCAACATTAAAAAAACCAAGTTACCTTCGTAACAAATCAGCATATTTAGAAAATATCAAAAATTTAAATGCTTTTGATCGTAACCATGCATAAGTACAACATATAAAAGAAAATCCCCAACTTTAATGATTGATGAATGTATTCACTGAAATTATGAATTCCTGTATCAGTAACAAGATTTGCAGCATTAAGACATGTGGTAAAACCTCCCTTTCCCCCACAAATCCCACCTCGCTATAGTTTAATGTCAGAATTTACTTTCAAATATTGTTAAAGCACTACTTCTATAATAGGAAAGTGTTTGTATAATGCATTAGTATAATAAAGTATTTTCAGAGTAAAGAATAAACAAAAATCAGTGCTCTTTCAATTATCGATTCTGAATCTATACCCAAAGTACCAAAGCCTTCTATCATCCATCTATAGGAAAAAAACTGCTATTCAAATTTTTGTGTTTGTTTTTTTTTTTTTCTTGTTATACTAAAATGGCATGCACTTCTGTGAGCAGCACATCAAAATATTTTTCAGTGAGAGTTTCACAAAGGTTGTAAGTGCCATCAGGCTGGACTGAACTTCCTGAAAGACACGCATTTTTTAAATAAGCTTGAGGTCCAGAGCAGGATTAAATCACTAGCTGGAATACATGGGCAATTGTTTTAAGTATAAAAAAACTTGAATGTGAAGTTGGGAAAGTACTAGGGTAAGGAAGAAATACTATCGGTTTAAATGAAGATATAAGGGTCTCTGAACTTGAGCAGTAGGATGAAAAAAGGCAGGACTACAATCCCATAGTGAAATGCTACTTGCTATCTGCAGTGCTGTGGGCACAGTTCTGGCAGGGAAACTGAGTTGCTAAAACAAGTTTTTATAAAAATAGGTAGTAAGGTAATGAAGATCCACCCAAGTGAAAAGCTCTGTTTGGTAGAATTAATTCTGAAATTCATACTTAGAATAAATTCACTTTTATTTTGATATAATGATCTACACACTTAAAAAAGGGACACGTTTGTTTGAATTGCAGCTCTATTACAGCCCGGTCCCCACCTACGAATAATTCCTTCCTGCACTACTTGCAGATCAAGTGGTTTCGTATTTATCACTATAGAGATTATTATTTCATTTTACCTAAATGAATATTCTCAATATAAACTAAAATAGAATATCTGAAAATAATCAAAAAAGCTTTAAGAATGTGGTCTTTGATTACCTGAGAATACATTATTGATGGATAATTGTTTGGAGCTGGTACAGTTTTTCTTTTAAGTAAATGGAAATTTCATGTTGCTGTTTTCCAGAATGTATTTCTGAAATTCAAATAGCAATTTCTTTCCTTCTGTCAAGGTAAAGCAGAGAGACTGTGCAACATAAAAGGTTGCAAAGAAGAAGTGGCTGCAAATGTATGTTCCCAAAGGGAGCAATAGAAGATGTTACCTGGCAGTGACCAAAAAAACCCCAAAAAACCAAAAACAAAAAACAACAACAAAAAACCCCCCAAAACAAACAAACAAAAAATTGAGACAACCTGACTTTAGCCTCTAGTAGACAAAAAGGGAGAGGAAGGAAGGGAAACTAAAGGAAAATAAACATTTGCCAGATATTTAAAGAAATAAATTTACTACATATAAAGCTGATATGGCATATGGTTTGTCACATACCTACAAGCTCTTACAGCCAGACTAACTTTTATGGTTGATACAGTTCCTGGCAAGTTGGGGGTTTTTTGGTGCTTTTATGTGAGGTTCT